TTGCAGGATATTAGTACTAACGTTTTAGCACTATAGCGCTAAAAAATACAAACAATCAAATAAAAAAAAAATACTAAAAAACTGTAAAATTCGTAATTTTCCTAAAATTTTCGTCATTTGGCGCGAACGGAAGATAATGTAGGATTTTGATAATTTTTGTTTTGTTATGCTAGTATACACCTAAGACAACTTTTCCGCGGTATAACGTTTGTCTTTTTATTCAACTGTTGCAGTAACGTTGGCATCGGTGCGGTATCCACCTGTCGTTTTTTTCATCAATCTATCAATGATGAACTAACAGCGCTGTCTTTTTATCCAACGTTGATGCAATCGATGCAACACCAATCAATCAGTTTCAATGTATGGTTTTTCCTATTAGATGTGACAACTGACAGCTGAATCACGGGAATTAAAAAGAATTATTTAATTGATCTATTGTAAGAAAAACTGAAAAAACTGGGCTTTTAAAAATACATATTTTCAAATTAAGGAGTATAGGAATATAGGAATATTCAAATAAAATTATAAATACACATTTAAATCCAAAATGTCAACTGTTATTTATTTCAGTGATCAACCATAAATAAACCGAATCCAACACAAGGCGTTTAAGGTCGCATCGGTGAAACATCGATTCTAACAAACCGATAAAAAAAAAGACACGTATAGCGAATCGAAAATATTAATTTGACATTTTCGCACTATCTATAGTATAAGCTCGAAGTAATTGCGCTTTTGAATAATTTGGCAAAATATATGTACAGTCTGTTCGCTATACTTACGCAAATTAGTCATTGACAACCAGTTCCAATAAGCCTCTTCCCAAGAAATTAGGTTAAATTGCCCTAATGGTCAGATTTAAATTAAAATAACATTAGGGTAGGTACTAAATTTGTTAGAAATATTGCAGTTGAATTGATTCTTTGCAATTGTTGACATTGTATGTATATTGTAAATTTAGTGGAAATTTTAAGATAGTCTAATTTGTAGTGTATTTTACGGATGAAAAAGAAAATGGCGGTCCTTTAAAATCGGTAATGTCTGTACAACAACGCGTATGCGATGCTCTAGGAATTAGTGAAACAAATTTAAGAGGAGTATTACAAAATCACAGTGAACTGCCGAAAGAAGATCACCGCAAAACTCGCCCATCATTGAAAACGAAAGATATTCTAGATGGAAAGAAATTTGAAATTCGTGATACCATTTATCAAATGAGGGCCAACAAGAAACATGTGACCTTAAATACAATTCTCTCGCAATTAATAGATAGAAAATTTGACGACATTGGCAGAACAAGTCTATGGCAAGTGATACATGACTTGGGTTTCAAATTTCAAAACGAGGCTAACAGTAAGGCCCTTTATGAAAGAAGTTCTGTCGTGCACAAGAGAATTAACTTTCTAAGAAAATATTCTAAATTTAAAAAAGAAGGGGCGAATTTTATATATTTAGACGAAACATGGATATTTTCTAGGGGTGCTACCAAGAGAATATGGCAAGATGATAACGTAAAGTCCATCAAACATACCGATGGAGAAGGGAAGCGACACATAATTTTACATACAGGAGGGAAATCGGGTTTTATAGAAGGTGCTGATTTAATATTTTCATCTAAATCAAAATCCAGTGACTATCATGATAATATGAACACAGAAATGTTTGTAAAATGATTGCATCAAAAACTTCTCCCAGGTTTAAGTGAGCCCAGCGTAATTATTTTAGACAATGCACCTTACCATTCTGAAGTATTAAACAAAAGTCCAACGAATTCTTGGACTGTTGATAAAATTAAAGAATGGTTGACAAAGGAACATATACCATTTCCTCAATATATATTAAAATCAGAATTATTACGCTTGGCAAATATATACGCAAAACCAAAAATCTTTGTTGTGGATCAGATTATTGAAAGTTACGGTCATCAAGTTTTACGTTTGCCACCGTATCATTGCCAGTTTAATCCCAACGAATATATATGGGGAATAGCAAAACAATATTATGACCATATTGAGCCTAATGGTTATAGTGACGACGCAGTTTGGGAAACTTGGCGAAAAGCACTTTCAATTGCAACTCCAGAAGTGTGGTGGAACTGTATATCCAAGTGCGAGAAACTAATTAAAGATTGGTGGATTCGTGAAAATAAAATAAACGAAATAAGTCCAATCATAATAACAATTAATGGTGATGACAGTGATGATGATAACGATTATGATATTTTGGATGATAATGACTGATTTTCATTTTTGTTGGCAAGTTCAATTTTTTTATTTGAAATTCTCTACATGGAACAAATTTTTATGTTAGAAAATATTTTATTTTAGCTAAATAACCCTCTTATTATACATAGACCATATTTTCTATGTGAAGTGTAATATAAAATTATTATAAGGTTTATAATAGGCACATTAGACTCCATAAATGAAGAAGTTTAATTCTGCTCTCAATTATACAAAAGATTCTCCATTATTATTTAATTAAAAAGTTGTACATTATTTTTCATTTCATTTAACCTGTTGATATTTCCCCAAAGAACAGGTCAAACTTTCGGGTACTTACCTGGAAATACTCTTAAAATTTTTAATCCGAAACCCGCGTAAGTATAGCGAACAAACTGTATACGTTAAATTAAATTTTCTGTAATTAAGTTATATACTTTAAATTTTTTACATTTAACTTCCTTCAAGATTATTGAAAATTATTAATTAGAATATGTTCAACATATGAAAAATTATCAAAATTAACCTAATTATTGTAATGTTTTGTAGTAAGTTTGGAATTAAAATTACACTCGTAGTACACACATCGTGTGGAATAGATTATTTTTATTTTGTTGCACAATATCAATTTCAATTATTTTTCAAAATTTCAAGATTAAATCTGGCAGCAGTGAAAGGTTGACAAACGTTTAAATTCAAATTTCCCCCGTCCGTCGTATATGTGCACAAGAATTTGTTAATTTTAATTAATTAAATTGGCAGTACTTACTTACTAAGTGTGATGTCAACTTAAACGTATCGTGTTTTATAATGACTGTTAGGTACCTACCCTTTATTTATTAACTGAAATCGCTAGTTATGTATATGCTAAGATTCATGCGTGCTATAACATTAACATAATGCACCTACTGCATATTTCATCAAATGAAATCATCCGAAAATATCAAACCTATATGATTAAATAATTTAGTAAACAATAAAATAGAAAAAATAAATTATCAAGAATTAAATTTTAATAGCTAAAAAATTCTGTACCCAAGCTTCATATTAATTCCAACAAAACAAATGACATTTTGATGACAGACTCAGTTCGTCCAAGCCTACCATATTAGTAGCTTAACGAGGTAGGCATGACGATCCAACCTGTTTAATGGTTACCTTTTATTCTAGTTGAAAAGTTACGAAGAATGTGCATCGATACTGTAATTCCAAGTAATTTTAAACGAATAGTGTCGTTAAAGATTTTTTTTAATAACAAATTGATGTAATAAAGATGTAATAAAGATAGATAAAGAAAAATGACTGATGTTTTCAATTCAATTAGAGTGAATTATGATTTTAATCCCAACTATATAACTATTAACGGAGAACTTATCTTCACAACGGTATAAAGAAATTATCTTTAAAAATGCAATTTACTCTTCATGAGCCCACACATTATTTTATTTATTGTTATTTAAAGTTATGTACCTAACCAGTTAGAAAAACATAAATAACATGACACAAAATGTTACGTTCCATTTTTTTTTTATTTAGACAGATTTTTATTTTTAAAAAGTCGTATAAAAATACGAAAATGTGAATATGAGAATGTGAATCTTTATACAGTGCGTTCATTAAAAAAGGAAGCATAAATTCATTATTAGTTAAATAAACAATGCTATTAAAAATTCCCAAAATAGGTCGATTTTTGATTTTAATTTACTGTTTTTTGAATAATAATCTAATATACAGGGTGAAATACCTTCGTGTGATGACGTCATCGCCATTTTTTTAAATAGAACACTATTTTTTTCAATTTTCCGATTTCCCTTGCTGAGTTGATATCAAAAATGTATCACACGTTGCTTTAAATTCGTATAGGGTGGAAAAAATACAAAAATTGCAAGTTATTTGCAAAATAAGAGAAAAGAATATACTTAATAATCAAATTAAATGAAATTACTTATTACTATATACGAGGCTGGGCTGAAAAATAATCGGCCTAGGCAATAAAACAACTTTTTTTGGCAAAACTCAATTTATTTCTCAACATAGTCCCCTTCAAGCTCTATACACTTTGTCCAACGATTCTCTAATTTTTCGATGCCCTTCGAATAATACGATTTCTCGAAGTCCTTAAAATAGGCCTCTGTCGCAGCGATGACCTCCCCATTCGACTCAAATCTCTTACCACCGAGCCATTTTTTCAAGTCTAGAAACAGATAATAGTCGCTGGGTGTCAAATCTTGGGAGTATGGAACCAATTTGTAACACAATTCATACAGTTTTGCCATTACGACTGCACATTTGTGCGCCGGTGCATTGTCCTGGTGGAAGACACTTTCTTCTTCGCTAAATGCGGTCGTTTTTGCTTCAAATCGTCGTCGAATCGGTCCAACAGCTTTGAGTAATGATGTGGGATTTGGTTTTCGTAACTATTTGGCAGTTACGTTAAATTTGTGATTAATTAGGTGTAATTTTATTTAAACAATAAATTTGGTTTTTATTAAAACATTCAAAATAAAATAAACTTGTTTTTTTTAATACAAACAAAAATTTGAAAATTAACACTTAATACTAACTTAAGGATATATTAACTACCTAGTTCACAAATAAAATAAACCTAGTTCTTTGGATTCAAACAAAATAAAACAATATTAATCTAACATCCAGTTTACAAATAAATAAAAAAATAAAATAAATTCTTCTTCAAACAAAATAAATATTTAATACTTGAAATGAATAAAATCTTATTGTCTATTCATGTTGAATATTTTTATTTGTTCGAGGTGTTCCTTAAGAAGCTTTTCTTTTTACTTTCTCCTTCTGTTTTTCTTTGTCCAATTCCAATTTTTCTCGATCGATATGTATTTTCTCACTATAATAAGTTTTTATATTATTCTTCATATCTGTCAATATTTCATTTCGTTTTTTATATGTGGAGGTTACTACTTTTGTGCCCCTACGTTTTGCAGATAGAATTTACCTGTTTTCTGCATTTCTAGAACCGTGAGCTAGTGTTTCTGAAGGTGCTTGTGCAGAATGTGCTTGTTGATCATTTTCAACCTCATGTGTATTTTCTTGTTCGTCTAGATGTAAAATAACTTCGATTTCGCTAGACAAAAGAACCTGGGGATGAACATTTGATTTGCCACCATAAATTTCTTCAAATTCTTTTTCAAATTCAAAGTTTGTACGACCTCTACCTGTTTTCGCATTTTTATCGACAAACTTTTTATACTTCCTATCCAGCACCTTAAATCTATTTTCACATTTGCTTAATGCAATTGTTACTTTATGAATATTTGATAAGTCTCTTGCTACCAAATCCCATAATTTTTTCATATTTTTTACCTTATATGTTCCAATTTTCGATTTATATTTTTTGTAAAGGTTGATTAGATCAAGAGATATGTTGTGGTTGAAAAATTTTTCTTCTATTTCTTCGACATTACTTAGTGTAAATGACAAGAATTGAGACAATTGTGAGGTTCTTACAAAAATTACTGTTATTATCTATGATGGTCATTAAAAAAGTTTTGCAGTGAACGTTGATCACCTTTCACCTTAAATATCTTACCATTATCCATATTTAAATCAGTATCACAGACCAGTATATCACTTAATAATTAATTAATTGTCTCTGTAAACAAGCATCAACAAGTCATAAAAATAAAAAAATATTTTTATTTTGTCAAATGTCAACTTCCTAAAACATAGAACACATTAGGTTATGCATCACACGACGGAAATTGAACTTTCTTAATTCTTCTTTGTTTTTAACTTCCAGTGGTTAAATTCTTACCATAGTGCGATTAAAATTGATGAAAAATAAAAAGATGCAGAAGAAATGTAAGATGTTTTAGTTCCTACTAAAAATAATCGATTCCGAACTAGTTCTTAAACTCTAGTTTCTGCGCATGTTATTCTGTGCAATCATAAAATAATTATAGAACCGTTATGATTTCGCAACCAAAACAAACCTGTTAAAAACTGCCATAAACATTAAGATACAATTCTGTATTGTTAACGCTTTGAAGTAGGTACGTTTACATGAAATATATCATACTTTATAACAAACATGACGTTAAATATCTTAAAAATCTTGTCAAATACACGAACTATTAAAAATTTTTCCTACAACCACTTAGGAAAGTTACACATATCACACTATATAGACCTATGGAAAGTGCCCTATATCACACGCGTATGAATAAGAATTTACTTTCCACCCAAGTGAGAATATGCTACTTTCCGCAGTAGCTGTCAGAAAATGTCAAACACATAATTTCTATTTTGATCTATGTAATGTCCATATTAATGCTAAAATCGATATGATTGTTAAATTATTGTAAATTATATCCTAGATATTTATCTTTAACAATTATTTTTAAAATAATTTTAAAATAACTAAGATATATTTGCTTTTTATTCTGGTTAAACACATAAGCGATTAGATCAATCAATTACTGTAAGGCCTGTTAGCTCAGTTGGTTAGAGCATCAACTTTGCAATTTGAGACCGTCCAACGACCGCGATCGAATCCTGGCTGTGCCAGAATTTTTTTTTATTTTTTTTTTATTTTTTTTTTATTTTTTTATTTGTTTAGAAATTATGAAAATTTAATAAATACGATTATTGTTGATTATTTTTTTAAATACATTTTAATTATTATAATAATCTGGTTTTACATTTTTTGATGAAATTATTTTGTGGTCGTAGGAAAAATATTGTACATCACTTGTGTGAAAAGTGATTTTCCACACTCGTGTGATAGTCGCACTCGGCTTACGCCTCGTGCGACAATATTTCCCACTCGTGTGAAAAATGTCACTTTCCACACTCGTAATGTAATATACTATTACACATGTCTAATGCCTACTAGATTAGAATTTAGAAATATATTAGTTACAGACTTTTGTTTAGAAACACCATTCATTTTAGCTCCATGAAATTGCTTATTTATATTTATTGTTAAATGTCATTTACAAGGAATGTTGATAGTGCAATTTTTAACGTTGTTAACTGACATGGGCGTAGAAAAAGGCGTTTTAATTTATAGCAAATTTTGAATTTTGATTTTAAACTTTTAACAACTTGTATCTCGGTAACTAATAGTCCCTAATCTGACTGCAAAAAGTGGAATGTCGTATTTTTTGCTTATTTGTAGTTGGGTACAGGGGAGGAAGGGTGAATAACATGTACTGTGTCCCAATGATGCGGAAACTGTCACGTAACCTGTCAAAATCAAAGTAAAGTTGCTCATCTATGGATTTTTCGTTTATTGTTTGCCATTAAATAATATGTTTCTATAGTTTATTTGAAAATGAATGATAGCAAAATTTTTAACCCCAATATAACATTATAAAAGAGTGATGGAAATTTCTAAAATAAAATATTTAACATTATTTGTTCCAAAATAAAATCTTTAGTTTTCTTCCTAAACATTTTTAAATACCAATTTATTTCAATTTTAGTCTTTAATTTTTTAGTCATTTTAATCAACAAAAATAAGGTAAGTAAATAATCTCTTCAGGTAGAAAATATTTACAATTCAAGATCAATTTAAGTAGCCCTCAACTTTCTTGGAAAGGATTAAAATTTCTAATCGACAGAAAGTGTGCAGATTGTAAATTATTTTAGTTAAGATTTACATTTCTGTTTGTAGTCTTGTGATTGTAACACGCAGAATTATTAGTTCTGTAATAATAGGCAATAGAAAGCGATATTGGCCAAGTGAATTTGTGCAATAAAAGTGGCACAAACGTCTAATTATACTCCTGTGAAATTAAAGTGCAATTTAACCGTGCATATGAAAACTTTAGTGTTAAATGTACATGACGGTCTCATACATGAACATTTCAATAGTACTGTAGGGAGTATAGTTTCTAAGTGTTCAAATATCACCGGAGTTGGAGAACCAACCATTTATAGACTTTTGAAGCAACGAAAGGATGAAAGAATTACAGTAGCACCTAAAACGTCAACTGGGAGAAAACTCAATCAAATAGACGGTACTACACATACTTTCGGTACTATGAGATAACTGATCCGAAGAAAAGTGCATTCGTTTTATTTACAAAAAAGATACCTACTTTGGATAAACTTTTAGTAGACATTAATGGACACGAAACTTTGCCAAACGTTAAAACAGACAAGTTGTGGAAAACTTTACATGAATTAAACTTCGTGTGGGAGAAAAACGACAGAAGATCTGCGCTCATAGAGAAAGATAAAATTATTTGTTGGCGGAGGCAATATTTAAGGGAAATTAGAAAATTAAGAAGAGGAGACAAAAATATTTTTTATTTGGATGACACATGGATAAATGAAGGATATTTTGTAAAAATAGTTTGTCAAGATAAACAGGTTACAAATGCTTGTCAGGCATTTATAGAAGGTTTGTCTACTGACTTAAAATTTCTAAATGGTAATGGTCGTCGTTTAATTATAACTAATATTGGAGTAGATAAAGGATTTATTGGTAGAGGCTTGTTAGAATTTGTTTCAAATTCTACGAAAGACTACCATGAAGAAATAACTGCTGATGTTTTTGAGGAATATTTCAGTCAAATGATAGATTTATTACCGACCAATTCTGCAATAGTTATGGACAATGCCAGTTACCATTCAAGATTAATGGAACCGTTACCTAACACTCCGATTCGCTAATGACCAAAGAAAAAGTGGCAGAAGAGGGATTACTCAAAAATGAGCTATTTCAGTTTTGTAAACAACATTCAGCAAAATTTAAGAAGTATAGAGTAGATGAAATAGCAAAAGAACATGATGCGGTTACCACCTTATCACATTGAACTAATCTGGACTCAAATGAAGGGATATGTCGCGAGAAACAATACAACATTTAAACTTTAAGATGTTCGTCAACTATTATGTGACTCCATATATATTTCACCGGACAATTGGCAAAAGGCTATAAGACATGTCATAGCAGAGGAAGAGAAATTTTGGAAACTTGATGTGTTAATAAAAGAAACAATAGAACCAGACTCGTGGGAAGCGAGGAAACTGATGATGATAAAAATGACTCCCTATCAGAAGAAAACGACTTATTTATTTAGGTATGTACCTCTATATTTATATTAAATAAGGGGCTAATAGATAAAGGGACTAACTGACATTTTTCTGATTTTCAGGTGTTTGATATAAACGAACTTAATATGTTTGTATTTTACCTACACACGTCTCTAAAATGGTTACATTTTCCTCATTTGAGGAGATACGTAGTAGATAAAGGGGTTAAATAATCTTAAAGTGTCGAAACTTAATGAATACAAGTATTAGAAATTAAAAATTAAAAAACCGACTTCAAAAACGTGCAGGTGCCATCACCATATCTTAACCAAATTTATATGGGACCACCCCTAAAGTACCCCCTTACTAACAAAAAAAGAATCATATAAATCGGACAAGTTGGTAAAGCATTATCGCTAAACATATATAAAAAATGAAGAGTTTGAGGATTTTCTCATGGACCCAATTATTAGATTTTGACCAAATTTATATGGTACCACCCCTGAAGTAGCCTCTTTCTACAGAATCATTGAAATCGGACACCGTGTTAAAGAATTATCGCTGAACATACATAAAAAAAATATCGCGACGAATTGATAATTTCCTTTTTTTTGAAGTCGGTTAAAAAGGGGCATATTCCTTAACCCTTTTATTCCCGTCAAAAACAACCAATTTCTGTAACCATTTTATCCGTGGAAGTCTAATGACTCATTTTTAAGTTTTAAAACAGAATGAGAAAATATATGCACACCTGATCAATAATCCAACCAGCATCTGTAAAAGTATGTGTGGTAACTAATATGGAACACCTTTTTTAATGATTTTGAAAGGCTTTCGAAGAGTTTAGGTTTATTTAAAACGAAAAAAATTGTTTGAATGAAAAGGTACCTGTCGTGATGGAATTAAGTGAATTCACATGGAAAAATTTGGTACATATCTGTATAAAGAATCATATGATCTTTATACACAAGTCAATTTGTTAAAAAATGAATGTTTACTGGGACAACGATGATTTATAAATTCGGCTTTAAAGAACCATGTTTCTTCTCAATCGCCATCGCAGAAAGAAGGGTTCTCTTCCCATCAGCTGAGAGCTGTGGAGAGTAATAATCCAGACACATTCTTGTTCGATTATGATGAAATTAAATGGGTTTTTAAATCAACAACCTTATTTACATCCTAATCCTAATAAACTAATAAACGAGTTTAACGATAGACATGTTAGTGTTTACTAATGCAAGAAATTTATTCATTTATGGCAATAAAATGAAAAATGGAAGTAATAGGTGTTTGTATAATATATAATGTTA